ACGTTGAAACCCACACTGATGATCCCCAATAATTTCATCTATATATGGACTTAACCTTGAAAGAAGAATATTGGACAGAATTATATACGAAGTTAATAGCAGTGATATCCCCTGATAATTACTACAGTCAGTTTTATCACCCTTCTTGTGAACTGGTACAATAATAGATTCCTTCCGCTGATCAGGCAATTTTTCCTTATGCCAAATAGAAGTAATTAGATTGTGGATCTTAGAATGTAATATTTCACCTCTTGCTTGAATAAGTTCTGCCGGAATTTGATCACTACCTGGCGATTTATACCGTTTCAATTTTGCAATAGCACTTTCAACCTCAAAAGGGCTAGGATCACGTATGAAGGGCTCAGCTGTATCGATTTCTGTCTGCCTAACATCACTGACCCTACGTACATTCAATAACTGAGAGAAGTAGTTCCTCCACCTATTCAAAATGTTGTGGGAATCTGCAAGCAGATCACCATTCTCATCCTTCACTAAGTTACTGCTAGGCTGGTAACCCCTTTTAAAGTCATTTATTCCTCTATACAGGTCTCTAATGTTCTTGTTCTTACTGCTCATTGCAAGCTCATCGATTTTGTTTTTCAGATATTCCCTCTTTTTGTTCCTGAAATGCCTGCTGGTTTCATGTCTTATATTGTTTAGATTATCCCCATTTAACTCACTTGGATCCTGTAACCACTGCAATTTGGCCTGCTTTCTTTGATCTGTGAAAAAAGCACAGCAGCCACGAGAAAACCCTGGAAGATATAAAGAACCTCCACATCAAGATAGACAGGTGGCACAATATCTGCCCCATACAAGAGGGATGATGGGAGGACGAACACAAGCCTGCATGGTTTATGAATTTTAATTAGCATCAAGAAATTTTAAATATTTTTTAAAAACTTTACATTCCCAGAAACTGCTGTGTTTGTGAAATGTTCTATTTTGTGTACTATGCATTGTAGCATATAAGTGTACGTACTTTACGTTTAAACAACTTATGTGATGGTGGTTTCCTATTTGTAGTGATGTTTGCCCTCTGAAGATGGTCCGCAGAGACCGAAACATGTAAGGGTGTTGAGTTTTCATGTAGTAATAAACTTACAGGTCACATTGGACGGAGTGATTTATATTTGTAATTGTTACGTGCCGGACCAGAATGAAACAAATAAAAAAAAAATTGCTAGAGGCAGTGTTTTCTGTTGGGTCTCTACTAAGGTTATATACTGTGAACTGAAACATGTACATTAGTTATGAGGAGTAGCAAACCCAGTCCCTGGGGGTTATAAATATGGGTACCTGGACTTCCAGGTTGGGGAAGTCTCAAATCTGAGACAGTAAAATATGGTCGTGAATACTGAAGGTCTCGAACCTGAGGATGTCTGCACCAGCAAGAACCTGCAACTGTAAATGACTACGACTGCAAGTGTTCAGTTGAAAAAAAATTACTGGTCATGAGTCTCAAGGGGCTTGTTGCTAAGACAAACTGATTGGCAGTGAACTACCAGTCGTAAAGTAACTGTGACTGTGACTGTAGTCAGTTCTGAGACAGACAAGTTATAAGTAAGAAGTGAGTGCTAGCTTGCGATAGCTAGGGGTAGACAGTGGTAGGCTAGGAGTCAATGGGCAGGAAGCAGCCATGAGGAGCAATAAGACAGTCGGTAGCCCATAAGAACATTAACATGGGAGATGAAGAACCTACAGTGTTGGGACCTGTTACCAAGCAACTACTGGTGAAGACATACATCTTCTCTGGTTCTGCTATTCTGGCTTCTGCCAGAGGCGTCACAATACTATAACAGAGAGAAAGATATGAAGTAGAATGTAAAATTTTCCCTGTCCTTAAACATCAGCCATGAAGACATTGTGAACTCAGGGCTTGATCCACACATTCATAACCTTGGTATCAGATCAAGATGAATGGTCAGTTTCACACCAAGACCATTTTGTAACCCAAAGGATAGAAGATCTGAGGTTAGGTTGGCCCAGAGCCAATCTAGATATGGCAGCAAAAAGCAAACTCCTTACATTCAGACGAATGCAGATGTACACAGTGTTAACATAAGACACAAACACTGTCTTCATAAACCAACTGCTAACCTCTCATGCTTTCAGAAAAGTGCATATTACGCTGGGATCAACATTTTTAATAACCTGCCATCTGATCTCAAAGGTCTTATGAATGAAAAGGCACAATTTAAAATAGCACTGAAACAATACTGAAATACACATTCATTTTACTCTGTTGATGAATACCTATTGTCTAGAAAATAACTTATGTATCTTTAAATAGCCTTGTGTGTAGTGACTGTGTATTCTTGGTTTCTCTTGTGTGAGAACTCCATTGGGTCTGCACATATGTTTTGTATTTATATGACATATTCCACATCCTACAGTCATTCTGAGTAACTTTGGGTCCATGGAATGCAATGCAATGTAATGTAAAGACTGAATGAAATAACGGTAAACTTACAGTTATCTGGTATCCAAGTACAGTCAACTCTCGAATATCCGGGGGCGGATTAACCGGTTTGCGGCTTAACCGGGGTTTTTTGAGGCTTATATGTTGTTTAATATTCATTTTGTTTCACATGGTGAGTTGTAACACTATTTTCGCACTAGTGTGAACCGAGCTCTGCATTCTTTGGTCCCGTTATGGTAACACATTATTCTAGGGTAGGGGTGCAAGAATGCAAGTTTCAAGGACAGATACACCTCCCCAGTTGGTCTCTTTGTATCGATCTTCAAGTGCGTTAGCAAAATGTCAGGGTGTAAAAGGAAACGTGTTGTGTTAAGTATTCAACAGAAACTCATGTGAGCCGGGCTTCAAAATGTTAAGCAGTGATGAAACCGTAAGTTCAGTGGGGGTGCAGCCAGAAGAGCGGGAAGAAAGTGAGAATGAGGAAGAGGTGGACAGTGCTGCTAGTAAGAAAATATCACATGGCGCTGCTCTTAATCATTTGGAATCCTTACTAGACTGTCTTGAGAGTGAAGAGAACAGTTTATTAAGTGACAAGCTAATATTAATTTTTTTTAAGTGTTAAGTGTGAATATTCGTAAAAAGTGTTGGATGTTGTTGAACACTGTGATTGAAATAACTAATTCACACTTCAGTATAATGTAAAAAAAAGTATTAAATAGGCCATGAGATGACATAAAAATGAGGTTGAGTAAATTTAAATACAGGTAGGCCTATAGTATTCTGAAGGTACAGTATTACAGTACTACTTCTAATAACATTTGTCTTAACCGGGTTTTCGATTAATCGTGATTTCCATGCCCACCATTATCCCGGATAATCGAGAGTTGACTGTATCTTTAATTCTTATGGAAATGGAAAAAATTTAAAAGAAACCATTTCTATAAGTTACTTAAAAAACCAAGTTCTAACGTGCATATGTTCATCCATCTTCGACATGATAGTTCTTCCAGCCCTCACTAGCACTACTGCCCATCACTGCCCCTCATGTACCACTAGAGTACAAGCTGGCTGACTGTGTGATCAAGTTACAATATATACAAAATCTTCCACCCATCAGTCCATTATATTTCCTAGTAAGACTCCCAAAAGCACAGTAGATCACTGTAGGTCGTGGTGCACAGGCCGACAAGGCCCACCCCTTATACATTCATTCATTCAAGACTCCCATGCAAAAAATGAAGTGTTAATCTGACCTGTATGATATTTCTCATGAAGCTACCAGATTAATGTAACTGGCATGCTCTCATTTCCCCCATACATGCCAGATAATCAGGAGTTCCATGCAGTGGGAATGGCTGCCGCAGTCTGTAACTTGAAGTTTCTTTGGAGTACATTATTTATACAAAAATGTAAAAAATGAAACACGTGACAGTAAAACTTGTACAAACATTCAGTGATGAATGTCTTGATGTCTTTATAAACAAATCTGAAATGGAAAATGAATCAAGTATAATTTCAACATTTCATTTGGTCCATGTAATTCCCTTTAATATGGTCTTCAAGCTAAATGACATTTACTCTGTAGCAGGTAAAGAGATACCACGCATCAATCTGCACATACCTTTTTTGTTGTACTATTCAGCTAATTCATGCATTTCTTTGAAGTACAGGAGTAAATAATATTAACAATATAATACTTTAATTTTCATATATTAAACATTACCAATACAAAGGATTGCAAATCAATATTACTATGCCAATGCAATTATCACTGGTATAAAAAAATTGAGACACATATCCAAGCTTTAAATAAAATACTGAGGAAAACTGTGTACACTGTTACATATGCATTATTATAATACACATTTCTCTATAATATTTATAAATACTACTAGAAGATGTGTAACACATAACAATATTATATATACACACATACATAAGTAATAGATTTTTGGAACAAAGTGAAAACTGAGATTCAAGAAACAGGATTTCTGCAGTATATAACAGGAACACAGTGCCCCTCAAAAATACCCTATTCTATCAAACACATGACACTCCATTTCATTATAAACAAACTGTCAACAACTTAATTCCAGAGGTGCAGTGGAACTAACATGAAATCCAATATTTCTTTCTGGCTCTAGACATAAATTTGATGCGTTATTTGGAAAATCAATCAATGAAATTTCAACAACTTTTAGATCTTGTCATTATCACAAATACTGTGAAACATTTCTGCATTCTTAAGTAAATGTATATGCTATACTCTCGATGTTCTTATGAACCCCTTCCCACTCCTCTAGAACTGTAAATGTATATGCTATACTCTCGATGTTCTTATGAACCCCTTCCCACTCCTCTAGAACTAACTATAGAGAACTTACCAACCAACACCATCTTACAAAGAATAAGAATATACTTTTAAGTCTCCATAGAATTTACATGCAACAGTAAAAATAACAATGGCCCTTTTCTGCCTATTCCACTACAGAAATTAATTTTCTTGAATGGCGGAATAAATAAAAATAATCACAATGTTTGTGAGGCTGGGGAGTAAAAAGAAGGCCACTGCACCTCTACTCATTCACTTCCATTGTAAACGAAACATGGCTTCCATAATTCTAGACTACAGGCATATCTGAGGTAGTTCATTTTGTATACACTGCAAAATCAATGCAGTGCAAACATGGTGTCTGCAAACTGGTTTGGGAATAAAAAACAGGAAAGACACAAATTGTAACAACTAAAAGATCAACTATTGCTCTAAAACTTGAAAAGAACAGCATTCATTCCACATTCATGTCTTTATAAGAGAACTCTGATGAAATGGTAAAGAGGAGATATATCAAAACACAACCACTTTATAACAAAAATGCACAGTACCTAATGAGGAGGAAGAGTGGAAGACACAAATACAATCTTCGATATTGCATATTCCACAGTATATATTACAAGATGACACAGAGTATCTACATATTATATGACATGATTTCTAATTTCTACACAAAATAAGTACTTTACACAAATTCAGTCATAGGAAAGTATGCAGTCACAAGCTGGCTATATTAACACACATGAGTAATACAATTCACCTGATAAGGCAAGTCACACAGAGACGAGAAGGTCCGATGCAGTCATCGTGACAGAAAGCTCCACACTTCTTGCACATTATCATAGCTTTCAGATTGCAAGCACACTGGGAAGGATCTGTTCGTGGCATTGAGATATGATTATTGTGGGTGTGCCTTGGGGCAACTCTCCCTCCTCCCTGTAATACTACTGGCTGTTGTGAGTATGAGTTAGTCACAGACTGTTCCATTATGGCAATATCACCAACAGTGTAATTCTGAACAGCAGAATCTGACCCCACATCACCATACTGCATGCTGCTACCACTGTCCCCTAGCCTGTCCTTCCGTGTGATGGCCTGAGTACCTGGATTGGGACAATGTACTACAAAATGTTCACCATATTTATTTGTGACATACCCCACCCCATGCTGCTGCTGCGAAGCTGCTGCCACCAGTTGTGAGCGTTCGACATCCACACTAGCTGGACGGCCACGCCCCAACCCCAGACGTCCTCCTCCGCTGCTCACTTGGTTGTTGGAAGGGGGTGCACTTGAGGCACGTGGTGGAGGAGGAGCCCCCTTTTGTCCACTGTTCAGCATCACCTGCACTGTTTCTGGTTGGTCACCCACTCCTGTGCGCTGCACCAGAATGTACTGGCCCACATGGCCAAGCTGTGCTCCAGGACTCTCAGCTACCTGAACCAAAGCTACATGTCATTCTCATATAATCAAATGCAACTGGGTCACGGGATCTTTCTGAGAGATACAACATCCTGATTTTAATGGAGTTAAACTCATTTTTGTCATGACACATTAAAAACAGGATGTTAACTGCCCACTATGTTGAATTCTCATTTGGTCTGTTCTGAAAGAAATAATTATGCTAGAGTTACATTTGCCAACGTTAAGTAACATTTTAAAAACTCTCATGTTTAATTATTATTGTTGTTGAAAAATAAGCCACCTAGTTGCCTGAGACAGTTCTATTCTTCTCAATAAACTGGCATTACAAATACAAGAGTGACTTTTCTGTATTGTGTTTAGAATACAGCATGAAACTATGAGATTGACATATTCCAAACTTGTGCATCTTATTTATATATCAGAATTTCTAATCTAGCAAAAGAATGGACTTACATACATTTCCACTGTTATGAAAATGTCACCATGATTTTTAGTTCAACATGATTAATATTCCTGGACACCCTATTATAAAACTTCAGAACATGGCACATAAAACTTCAACCATGCACACTTTCTTACACACTGTGTCAGTTTGTGTAAATTCAGACACATTTCTCAAAATATTCAATTCAATTATTTATGTGCTTATTCAAATGCCAATTAAACAAATATAATTACTTCTACTAATATATATATACACACACACACACATTCTGAAAGAGCACTGTTCTTTGCCTGGATTTAGTTTAGAATACCTTGAAATACTTAAATTGTTCCTTGAAACAACTGTGATATATTATACTTTATATGGTTATATAGCCTCCTTTGCTGCATGTTTTCCTTCTTACACAGTCCTTCATTAGTCTTTTTACCATGTTCAATACATAGGAATATCAATTATACATACACCATGAATGCTGGTTACTCAAGATGTGGTACATGTCAGTATATGTATTTATTATCAGTTGTGTGACTGATGTGGGTGTTTATTTCCAAAAACGGAATTTTCATGCCCATTTTATCTCTTCTTGTTAAATACTGCATTTTATACTACAGTAAAACTTGGTTATAGCAACATCGGTTTCTGCGACACCTTGTCTATTGCGTCAAATATTCAATGGTACGAACTAATTCCTCATAAAGCAACTGTTTTTATACCTTGCTTAGTACGACATGCACAAATGCATCAACCTCGTATGTAACGTCATTTTCATTCCTGAATTTCTCTGATATGGACATTGAACGTAATTTAGAAAGTGTGTAATGGGCAAGTAACAGGAAACAGATGAAGATAACTGATTACTGTACTCGTATCTAGGTACAGTAAGGCACAACAATTGATGTAATCTACTGTAATTTGGTGAGTAGGCCTACCTTTAATATCAGTATTAGTGCGGTGTGTATTGTCAGTGAAAAGCGCTGTAATATGTCTTTGATATTACACATTTGGGCAATTCCACGTTAATGTTACGTTAGTCTGTACTTAACTATGTATTTCACTAAAAAATGCAACATTTTAACTCGGTTTTGGTAGATTTTTACGTGACTAACATAACGCTACTGTGGAAGTGCCCATTTCGGTTACGACATTCGTTTATAACGACACTATTTTTAGGTCCCTTTGATGACGTTATAACCAAGTTCTACTGTATATATATTGTGAAGTGTTGCACTATGGAGGACACCCCCTCCCTCCCCAGCGGTGACGTAACACTTTTGGAGCGTTGCTGTTGCTACGGTAATAAGTCAGTCAACACCCCGCCTCTCCCCGCGGTGACGTAACACGGGACGCCGCAGTTGCTACGTAGCCGTAAACAACTCCCGACAGCATTGCTATGCTGTCGGCAAACACGGTGTCAGACAACAGTGGTGCCTATTACGTAACTGTTTTCTGTGTTGTCCGTAATGGGGCTAAATAAGGAGCAGTGAAGACTATTCAAGTTAGTTACGAGTTAGCCAGAGAGTCAGTCACCAGTTATTTGCAGTCCAGTATTTGTGATACTGCCAATGGCAGTAAAGTTGAGATTGTAAATGGTGCGATTGTAAGAGCGAGTGTGAAATAAAATTTGCTATATCAAATAAGGCGTGAAGTTATTTGTCACGCATTATACACCCAACACATGACAATACACACACACACACACACCTAGAAACGGCCGTCTACAGATTCATTATTTAGCAACAGGTCTACATGCTACATTACAGTACTAGTAACATTAGTACAAAGCAAGGGTAATTTTCTAATTTTCTTCTTACATTTTCAGAACAGATTTCTATTAAGTTATTCTCCAAATGGACAAAAACTACGATTTTATGAACTCACTCAGCACTCCAACCCCTGGTTATTTCCTGCATAGAATGCTTTGGTGTCAGGCAAATCTAAACTGCTTATCAAAAAGACGGCATCCTTGTCATGTTTGCACCTATAAAGCATGCAAATTTTGTAGATCACAGATAAAGATGTATTTCATATACGAGGGGGTACTCAAAAGAAACCGAAATTATTTTTTTTTAAACTTATTTATTCAAATTTTAAGCACAAACCTTCAATCCCCTTCAAANTTCCTTGATGATTTCACGAATTTTTTCAACATTTTCATGTGTTCGGGCCGTGGAAGGACGACCAGAACGAGGTTTGTCATCAATTGACATTTCACCATTTTTGAAACGGGAAAACCACTCAAACACTTGAGTTTTCCCCACAGCATCGTCATTGTACGCCGTTTTTAACATTTCAAGAGTTTCTGTTCCACGTTTCCTGAGCAAAAAGCGGAATTTCACCGCCGCACGCTGTTCACGAAAATCAGCCATTGCAAAAACGACAATCACACAATACAGTTCTCACTATAAACTCCGCCGAAACTAGTCCTTACCTTCTGAAGCAACGGTAGTCGGCTTATCGACTCAGGAATGTTAGCTCTATACGCTCATAGCGGCAAAACGCGGTACTACAAAAGCTCTGCCCACAAAAAAATTAGTTCGGTTTCTTTTGGGTACCCCATCGTACATATCATCTCGTAAAGTTATAAACATTTATACAATACCATAAAAATTGTTAAAGTGTAATCTATATAAATAAAAACAGTAGACAACCAATTATCGAGGGTGGATAGGAAATTAACTTCTCTGGATTATCAGTAAAAGCAATATGTACCTAACTGTACTGCACTGAAAAGGCAAAGAAAAAGAGCAGTTACCCAAATGCTGTTGGCAGAAACATGAGCACAGTTTCTGAGAAACTCCTGTGCCATTTCTATGCATTAAAATCACAATCCAAACAAAGAAAGCCTTTCTGAGTTTCCATGTACATATTTAATAGTGAAATAAAACTCCCTTCATGTTGTGCTTGTTCCTAATTAAGAAGCAATTTCACATGAAGTTTATTTTTTGACACTGGTCATAACAGCCAATTTTCTAAACAAAATATATGATATAAACTCCGTCCTAAATGGAACAATATATTGTAGGTCTTTCGTCTTGCTTTCTTCTACACAACATGTTTCGGCCGTAAACGGCCATCATCAGGCGTATACACTCACGTAGCTGTTGCACTGCACCCAGTTTAAAATTAAAAACATACAGGTCTTCCCAATTGTTCCCTTCGTCGCTGCTAACAGGATCTACTTCTACACAATACATCAGACAGCACATGTAGTAAAGATAAGCAGCGGCACGCACACAGGGAGCCTACACAGAATAACACCTGTACAGTGCTGAAAACAAGAAGTAGCCGCTGCAGCACTATAGAAGTGGGGCGAGTAACCCTGAGAATTTAAAATTTAAAATTTGGAAAAAAAATGTTAAAAGAATTTTTAAAATTGGAACTGAAGATTTTAAAAGTGCCAGTTCATGATGGTCAAAATTGATGTGTGTGGGTGGCAAAGATGAGGTACGAATCAGACAAATATCAGCGAAGTAGATCCTGTTAGCAGCGACAAAGGGAACAATTGGGAAGACCTGTATGTTTTTAATTTTAAAATGGGTGCAGTGTAACAGCTATGTGAGTGTATACACCTGATGGTGGCTGTTTACGGCCAAAACGTGTAGTGTAGAAGAAAGCAAGACAAAAGACCTACAATATGTTGTTGCACTTAGGACGGAGTTTATATCATATATCGTATAGAGTGCAACAGGATGCTTAAATATAATATTTGTAAACAAAGTCCCACAAAATCTGCCATCAAGATAATACACCTTTCATTAATTGGGATTCTGTTGTGAACAGATAAATAATAAAAATCTACAAAATGCATGCTAATTATAATAGGCAAAATGCATGGCACAAAAACAAACACACTACACTCCCTGTCATGTATAGAGAATGGGGTGTGCTGGTTACATGAATCTGCTGGTCACATGATGGCAACTCTTATAGAAACCCAATGCAAAGTCAACTCAACAGGTTTTCACTTTAGTTCTTGTGCAGGTGTCTTTCTAGGTGACAGTAGACTGATGGGAAAATGATTTTGGATACATATACTGTAATGTGATCATAAATTCAACTTGCTTGTACAGTATGCGCCAAAATCTTATGTACTGAAACTCACGCATCTCGAATGCACATGTGCATTTGTCGACGGGGCATAGCTCCAGCCACTCGTGTGAAAAGGAAGTTGTGTTGTGCAGTTGCTGCTCAATGGAGGAAAAAGTATTCATAGTTGAGTATTATTTCTGCTCATATGGAAGTGGTCGCCAGACAACTCGCTTCCTTGGTTTTGAGTGGCCACATGTTATCATCCAGAAACCGCTACATAGTACGCGTGTGACGATATGGTGTGCCGTCTCAGCACATGGTATATTAGGTCAATATTTCATTGAGGATGAGGAAGGCAATGCTCTTACCATCACCCAAGAATGCTACAGGGACATGGTGATCAGACCATTTCTTCAGGATTTGAGAAGGTTCTGTCATACAAGGGGCCTTCACATGAATAGACAGTTGTAACAACAGGATGTCTTTTCATTTCAGTACTGGATTCTTTGGCACATACTGTATTATAGTGGCACCTACA